TCATTACTGTCTGTGTGTGCGTGTGTGTGTGCGTGTGTGCATGTGTGTTTGGCGTGAGTGTGTGCTTGCTGTGGCTGCAGACTGAATGGACCACAGGGGCGTGGCACAGGCATGTCGGACTGGAGGACGACCAGAACTCCCAGAACAGGCTTCCTCACTGTTTACCAGAGCGGCAAAGCAACTGTGGGGGTTGTGGTTGGGGGGGTTGCCATCACACACATCCCCACACAGACACATACATACACACGTATACACACACCAGTTAGACGGAATTGCATTATTGGCTCTCACCGCAGGCTTTCCTGAAATATCAGCAACCTTATGCTTTTAATTAGTGACTGTGTGTGTGTGTGTGTGTGTGTGTGTGTGTGTGTGTGTGTGTGTGAGTGTGTGTGCCCGTACGTGCCATTTGTGTCTCATTCTGACCCAGGCTGCAGAGCCAGTCTCGTATGACCCCTATTCCCCAAAACTCCCCTGTTTTCTTTGGTAAAACATGGAAAAACTTACTCTAACAGCTCCCCCTCTTCCCTCCTTCCTGCTTCCTAAGAATCTCTCATGTGTTGCGAGTTCCTGCTCTCCTTGACCATATATGGCCCTTCCTCTTGCCGTGGGTGGGTGGGTGTGTAGCATCCAGAAAGTCTGTGGTCAAAAGCGGGAACATTTTCCCTTCTCACTCACAGTTTACTGGTGCTTTTCACGGGCCACGTTCGCCAACGGAAAACAACAGCGGAGTTCTTTTTTTGGGGGGCTTTTCGTGCTGGGTTGACACCAGGTGCACTGTTTTCTTCCCTGTTCATTTAATTCCTCCTACTTCACTCCTACTTTTATTTCCCGTAATTTTCACGGCATCACAGCCAGCAGATGGTGTGCCTCTTCGCATCCTTACTGGCTTTTGATGGTGGAAACGCACTCATGTAGGTGCAGCTAGATTGGGATGTAACTACAGTAGTTATGTGCATACAGAGAGATGGTAGCAGGGGGAGAGTGTGTGTGTGTGTGTGTGTGTGTGTGTCTGCCTGCGTGTGTGTGTGGATGGCGAGGCTCTGGTCCGCAGCCTGGGAGCCAGGCTTTGAGCTGTGCTGTTCATAGTCTGCTGATTTATGCGCCTCACAGGGAAATCTCTCATTTGTAGCTCTTTCATCTCATTTTTCCCCTCCACTCTTTTGCTCCCTCTCTCCCTCTCTCTCTCCCCTTTCTCTTTCTCTGTCCTTTCTCTTCTTCCCGCCGTAATGTGATTCAGTACAGCCGCTCGTCCCAGGCGACATGCCATGCTTTGCTTGCACACCCTGCTCTCTCTAACATGAATGAGTCAATTGATGAATAATAAGATAGAGCAGAAGGAAAATGCTATCCGGATCTAGTCGAGCAAAAGAACTCCTTTTCTCTCCTGAGCGTATTCTTTGTAAGCACCACTCGGGTGCTTACTCACACATTGAATGTGTTTGTGTCCCCAGTGCCGTAATGCTTTTACGGACCTTTGTGTGTGTGTGTGTGTGTGTGTGTGTGTGTGTGTGTGTGTGTGTGTGT